TGTGCTGCTTCCTGGGCTGATGGCCTAGTGTCAGGGCTGTGACAGGGCACTGACGGCATCCATCCCCATCGGCGTCACCGGAGTGGGGGAGGAGGTCCACTGAGACACCCGAAGCGAAAGCCAGTGCAGCCACGCTTCTCAGACCACAGTCAGTTCAGTGGATCATACATGGTGGTAACAAAATAGAAAGAATGTATCTGAGATTATTGCGCTTAGAAGGGGCTAAGTATTGCTTTTGAAATCTTTCGGTTCTGTGAGGGTAAAATTGCCTCTGGGAAAAGTGGTGTGGTTATTTTTCATCAGCACTACTGAACTACTAAACTGGTTAGGCATACACAGGCATAGCTTCTATTAAAATAATTTTTTAAAATAAGTTTTAGAGCCAGACAGACTTGTAGCTGAATCATGAATGGTTTTTTACCTACATGATGGCAGGTAAGGTCCCCTCTGGAGGCTGATCATGGATTTGCTGGGAAATGAAGTCACTCCTGTAAGGAACCCAGCACAATGCCTGTGGTGCAGGGAATCCACTCACACACATCAATTAGTCCTTATTCTACCCTCTAGCTCCCGTGCGCCCTTTCTTGGAAAAACATTCCATGAGGGGCACCTGGTGGCTCAGTCAGCTGAGCATCCGCCTCTTGGTTTCAGCTCAGGTCATGATCTCAGGGTCATGGGATCGAGGCCCTGCACTCAGTGGGGAGTCTGCTTGAGATTCTCTCCCTCTGCCCCTCCACTCCCTTGTTCTCTCTCTAATAAATAAATCTTTAAAAAAAGAAAAAAGGGGCGCCTGGGTGAGTCAGTCATTAAGCGTCTGCCTTCGGCTCAGGTCATGATCCCAGGGTCCTGGGATCGAGCCCTACATTGGGCTCCCCCCTTGGCAGGAAGCCTGCTTCTTCCTCTCCCTCTCCCCCTGCTTGTGTTCCCTCTCTCACTGTGTCTCTCTGTCAAATAAATAAAATCTTAAAAAATAAATAAATAAAATAAAAATAAAAATTTAACTGTAAATACAAAGTAATGCAACCAACAGGACCAAAGTGAATGGGCTCCTCTTGGAGGAGGGGAGGGGCCCAGAGCACATCCCCCCCAGCCCCCCCTTTCTGGGTGCAGAGGGATGGGCCCGTGTCTGAGCCCAGAGGATCCTGTGGTTACCTGACCCACCTCGGCTGGGACAGACGGGGGAGGCAGGAGACCCCTGTCCATGTGAGGGTCTTGGTGGCCTCAGAGGCCCCCTCCACCCGCAGCAGATCCTGGAGGTCGGCCAGCTCTGCTCAGCAGGACTCTGGGCTGATCAATTTCCTCCTGGACCGCAGATTGTCCACAGCAGCGTGAGGCCAGCCCGGGGCGGGCAAGGATGTGGGGCACATGGTGCCAGGTCACAGGGCACTCACCCCATGTCCAGTTGTAGCTGAACCCTGTGTTCCCAAATTTACTGGGACAAGTATACTCTACAATTTACACTCTACAAGATGCATGCGCTAGTAATGCCACCTGGTCTTGGCCACATTTTGGAGGTTCTCTAGGAGTTGGCACAAGCTTGTGCCCAGCCTGAGGCCTCCCCGCACCTTGGCCTCAGGGAGCCCTGACAGCCCTGCTATCGCCGCCCCCGCCACAGCTCCAGAGCCATTCCCCGACCCCACAGGTCACCTGGGAGTGTTCAGCGCTTCTCTCCCCTGTGCATTCAGGAGTGGTCCTCAACATACACGCAGATACACATTGGCCACCACCCCACATCCTAAAGAGAACCCCAAGCCTCCAGACGCTGTTCAGAACCCCCACCCCGCAACCCCCTGGAAGTGTCCAGGTCTCAGCCTAGACTCTAGTCCCAGCCCTAGCACTCAGCTGTCATGTGACCCAATGCCATGGATGAGTTTCCTCCTCCAAATGGCCCTATGAGGCTGAGGTCAGCAGTGGACAGAATTTGATGGACGCATGAGCTGGCCTCTGGGTGTGCAGCCAGGTGGCGGGGGGTGTCATCCACCGGCCCTCACCCTGAGGCTAACTCCAGACCCAGCTCTGGACTCCTCAGCCCCATCCCACGGGCCACAGCTCAAGAGCCCTTCGAGGGCTTTTCCCACAATTCAGCCCTAGACAGGAAGATTCCCCTACACCCCTGCCCACCCAGGTTCCAGCTTCTCCGTGAGCTCAACTGGCCGTGGCCAGGCCCGGGGAGCAGGCTTCTTTCTCTAGTCTCTGATCCACTTTGAGGCTCTGTCACCCTCCCCAGCCTGCATACCCCTTGGACAGCAGGGAGTGCAGCCGTTCACAGCTCAGGGTCCCTCTACAGACACATGCTGTGTCCTGCGCATCTGCCATAGGCAGGCCACAACCAGCCCCTCCCAGGACCCAGCATCCAGCCTCAGCATCTTCCCCTGTCTGGAGAGCCTGCCTGACCCCTTCCTTGGCCCACTGTATGGCCAGGAACACCCAGGCCAGAAGACGCTGGCTGGCACGGAGCAGCAGAGTGACAAAGCACAGGGGCCGAGCTCAGAGACGCCTCCACATTGGGCCCAAGAGGCAGGGCCCCCAGCAAGTGCCCAAGAACACCCCCAGGAGCTCTGGCCCTGGCTGGGGCCTCTTCTGGCCAGAACCCAAGTCCTACGCAATGCTAGCAGGGCACTCTGCCACACCCCTCCTGCCTCTGTCCTTTCACTGTGGGGGTGCCCGGGGCCAGCAGGGAAAAGGGGCTGCTCATCCCACAGGCTGGGGGGCAGGGTGGAGGCCCCGTAGGGAAGAGAGAAGGGCGGTTTCTTACAGCCTGGGAGGAACTGCAGAGATAAAAATAAAAGCACCAAAATTGCCTCCTGCAGTCGTGGTTGGGGCCCAGATACATCCAAGCCGCAGGCAGGACGAGCTCTGCACAAAGAAGAGAGTGGGGATCAGGCTGCCTCAGGACCAGACTCCACAGGATCAGTGACATCTGGAGCAGAGATCTCAACCGTAGTACCACCAAGTGGTTTGGGGCAACTTATTTCCAGGTGTCGGCTGCACAGGGCGTTACGGGGCATTTACAGCTGCATTCCCAGCCTCCACCCACTGTGGTCAGTGGGACCCCCCACCGAGACAGGCAAAAATGTCTCCAGATGTGACCAGGGGCCCTTCCCCCCAGGGCCCCCCCCCCCCAAGCTGGCACCCACCCAGGTGGAAGAAGTTGGAGCAAGGGCCCTGTGGGGCTCTGCCAGCTGACAGCCTCCAGGAGTGTGGGTCTGTGGCTTCCTGCACAGGCCAGCCAGTCATACCTCCCGGAATCACTGCCCAGCCAAGCTCCCGACAGAGGCTCTGCTTCCAGATGGCAGATCAACTCAGCATCCCATCGCTCCTCTCAGCTGCCAGGGAAGGGTGGAGTGAGCCGCGGGGCAGCTACTGCGACAGGACTGGGAGGAGATACAGGAGCAGCTACCCAGCAGCCACGGGCACCGGCGGCAGACAGAGGCCCAGCTGAGAGGCCAGGCAGAGCGGAGGCCAGACTTGGTACTAACAGGTCATGGTCCACTCCACCCCAGGAGGCTCCACCACTGGGCCCTGGCACCTCTGCCCACGCCCCACCCCAGATGGGGAAACAAAGACCCAGGAAGGATGACTGTGACCCCAGCTGGGGGCCTCCCAGGGCTCCCTGTGCCCTCTCAGGTGACTGGGCTGGCAGGGTGCTCTCACTGTCCTGGTCCTCAGCCCCAACCCCAGGGGCTGCTGGGAGCCCAACTGCTGCCCCCTTGCAGCCACATGGGGAAGCAGGCCTGCACCCTCAATGGTGTCCCGTCCCCCCACCCAGGTCATGGCCAGGGTCACCCTCCTCCACCACACCCAGCACCTCCATGGGTTATATCCCCTGACGGGCAGGGACCCAGACCGGCCCCGTGGTTAGAACTCTGCTTACCTAGTTGGCTGGCTGCCATGCACAGGGCAGGGGCCTGCTTGGCGCACCGAAAGAATGTAGGGTGAGCAACACAATGTGGTCGGTGCCATTCCAAAGACACTGCTGGGTAACCCCTGCTCCAGCCCTCCCCAAGATCTGCCTGATTTGCAGAGAACTCAACCCCACTCCCAGACACATTTCTGAGACAAGGCAAAAAATCTCCACAGCCTGCTGAGAAGTGCTGCTGCCCTTAACGGGGTGGAGGGGATCAAGGGAGGGTACCAGCATCGTGAGTGTCTCTACTGGACGGCTCAGGAAAGATGCACCGCTTTTCCTACCCCCTAAGTCAGCCACCAGGGAGCAGGGCAGAGGCTGAGGAGAGCAGCGTCTGCCATATTCATGGCACTCCGACCAAGCTCCCCTGCCTGCAGCTCAGCCCTCGCCAAGCCTGGATGCAATGGTCCACTGGCTCAAGCTAAGGCTCCAGGGTTTCTCCAGTTCCATGAACAGCACCACTTTCTCAGCCACCCCAACCCTGCCAGAGCACACCCTCCCAGCCACCCTTTCCTGATTAGCCCCCACTCAGGACCCAAAGGAGACCAGGGGTCCCCAGCCCTAGCGGAGCAGGACAGCTCAGAGAGCCACTTGAGGCCCAGGTCTGTGGGGACTGTAGGGCACCAGCCTCACCCGACCGCCGTCCCCCTGCAGCCGCGGCAACCCGCCGACCCTCCCCAGACCTCCCTGGGGGCAGAGTCTGCCCCCCCCAGTCTTCCCCATGAGACCCTCCCTGTCCCCTCTCAGATTTTAATCATATCCCCAAGTCAATCCGGGCACTCCCTAACCCCCCAGCATTGTCCCTTGGTACTTCTGCCATCAGTGTGATTAGAGTCTGCCTCCCGCAGTGAAGTACAAGTGCTAAAGGGCAGATCCGGGTCTCTGTTTGCAGCTCCTGTAGCATCATACATTCATAAGTAAGGAAGCTGTCGTTCCCGTGGACTTGGCACCAAGACAAGGACCCTCTCGGTAAAGGGACCCCGATCTGCACCCTGGGGCCCTTGTGCCTCCTAGAAAACCAGAGGTTGGCACCAGCTCAATCCCAAGATAGCTCACACTAGGCCGCAGAGGTACCAAGTCACCAGGGGACAGCTAAGTTCCTAAACATTTATTACAGGGGATCATCAGCAGCAACAGCGGTGGGGGAAAGGAGCGCTAGACTCATTTGCCCTTCAAGTAGATCTTGGGGGTCTGCCAGCCTGCAGGGGCTTCCTTCAGGCCTGCCTTCAGCCAGATGCGCCTCAGGTCTCTCTCGAACTTGATCTGCGAGGGCACAGGACGGACCACTGACTGGTCTGTGGCACAGTCACACATTTTCAGCCGCCCTGCCCCACCCTAGGCTGAGAGGCCCCCCCCCCCCCCACTTACCTGCTTCCGTTTCAGGCGTCCTTCCCGGACCTTCCGCCGCAGGAACCGGGTCCTCTTGACCAGTTTACGGTACTTGTGATGATTCATCTTCCGCCGGCGAATCTTCAGTACGTTTTTGCACTGCACCCGGGGTGCATCCCAGACCTCCTCCGTCCCCTGCTCAGCCCCTTCCACTTGGCTAGGTGGACACTCATAGAGTTGGGATGGTGCCACGGTCCCTGGGGTCCTGGCATCTAGTCTGGGTAGGAGGTAGTGGGCGGTCAGCCAGCTCTCCAGAGGACTGATGGACATCCTCCTGGGGACCAGCATCTCCTCAAGCTCCAGCTGGAGCCCCTTGCCAGGGACGGAGGCAACTCCACTTGGGCCTGCTGGCTGTGTGCTGTAGCAGGGCCTGCAGGTACGCCCGCCTAGCACCCCTGAGATAGGCCAGGGCAGACCGCAACCTGCAGGAAACAAGACAGCACAGTCACCACCCACGCAGCTCCGCTGGGGCTGAGCGCAGCCAACCCCGCCTCCCCCCCTGGGGAGCAGAGCCGTCCTCACGGACTGGATGACCCGCACCTTATCCCAGCCGGAATTCAGGCTCATGTTCTCAGGCCCTGACTTTCCTTTTTGCTACTGGGATGTTTACAAGGAGTTCGTGTGGCCAGCTGCCAGCTGGGGGCCGTGGGGATTACTTACCGCACATTCCTAACCCGAGCGTGCACCCCGCGCATGCCCCTTGCCCCCACGGGGCCCCTTACCTGCCCGAGGAGCAGCCTTCAGCAGCCGAGAAGACAGGCGCACCAGGAACATGGTCTGTGGGTGGTGGCGGCCCCAGGTGCTCAGAGTGGCTGCAATACAGGTGCGCGTGGCGGTCACGCGGGAGTGGCCGGGGGGCGCGTGCAGCAGCCCCGGGGAGGCCAGGACTCCCACAGCCCATCACCCTCATCACCTTCTCCCACCACACAGGGCTCCCTCCCTCAAGCGACCAGACCGAGGCGCGAGCCCCTCGTCCGCCCGCCGCTCCGCGGCTGCGCCCCTCTGAGCAGTCGCCCACCCCTCCCCGAGCCTCAGCTCCAGCCCGGGGACCCACCACCCGGGCGGAGCCGACGCCCGAAGGCGCGGAAGGCCGGGACTGGCGCACGGCAGCCGCGGCTCCCAGGCCCCGCGGGGACGGTCCCCGTCCGGCCCCAGCCTCACCCGACCGCCGTCCCCCTGCAGCCGCGGCAACCCGCCGACCCTCCCCAGACCTAAGCCGGGTGACTCTAACTGACCACTCTGCCGCCCAGTTTAGGCACTTCCGGTCCGTCCCCAAACCGGCCCCCAGTACCGCCCGGCGGTACCCACTCCCGGCGCCCCCTGGCGCCCTCGCGGCGTCCGACTCTGCGTCGGCGCAGGTCCCGCGGGGCCCAGAAAGCAGCCGTTTCCGGCCAGAGGAGCGGCCTACCCCGCCCACAGCCCGCAGGCTCGGCCCCTCCCTCACGGCGGCGAGAAGACTACACTTCCCACAATCCTAAGGGATGCCCTCGACTTCGCATCCCGACCAACCAGCGGCCAGTCGTCCACGGCGGGCGGAAGTGGCCTGAGCCCAGCGGCGGAAGTGGTGTTCTCGGGGCGGCGGCAGCGGCCGGGGCCCCTGCGTGCACGGGGGCTGGGCAGCAGTCCCGCAGGAGGCGCGGGGGTGCGTGAACACGGCGCCCTTGAAAGGCGACGAGCTCCCAGCCTCCGCCTGTGTGCGCGCGCAGCTCCCGGAAGCCGCCAGCACCTCGGTCTGGCCGAGGTCGGCAAGGACAGCGGACCCTCTGCCCCGCGGCCCTCCCGGAGGTGCCGCTCGCTCGGCTTCCCAAGCGGCGAGGCCTGTGAGGTGCCTGCGAGCCCCGGGGCCCCAGCTCCTGCCCCGCCGCGCACACGGCCGCCGGGCTGCGCCGACCCAGCCCCCCCTCCCGGGGGCGCCCGCCCCCCAGCGCCGGCGCTGCGGCTGCCTTCCCGCGAGCCGGCTGCCCCCCAGACCCGGCTGCCTTCCCGCGACCCGGCTGCCCCCCAGACCCGGCTGC